CTCTACCAGAGACGTATACGCCGTCTCTACGTCACTCCTCAGTCCAGCGAGAGACATCACGACTACGTCCACTTCTACACTCTGTGGTCCTGACGCTGTGTTTCTCCTCCCACAGTCTGATCTTCGGGGCGATCACCTGCGTGTCAGGTGTGCTGGGCGTGGCCAGCGGCGTGCAGCTGAGTCGGCGTCTGAGGACGAGGACGGACCGAGCCGACCCGCTGGTCTGCGCCGCCGGGCTGCTCCTCTCGGCTCCCTTCCTCTACCTCGCCATCTTCTTCGCTCAGGCCAGCACCATCGCCACATACGTGAGTCTCTCAGGAGCTTCAGCCGGAGCATGAATCACTAGAGGTATGAAACCAGATGAAATGGTGCTGATGTTTCCCGTCCGTCCTCTCAGGCCTTCATCTTCCTCGGAGAGACCTTCCTCTCCATGAACTGGGCCATCGTGGCTGATATACTGCTGGTGAGGAGACCTTCTGTCTGTCCTCTCTGGAGACGTACCACGGCTCTTAAAGGACCAGTGTTCAGTGTTTATGAAGGAGTGAGATGTCAACATTCCCTTAAATCTCTTCTTATTACACACTGACTTATGTCCTCTTCTACTTCTTCACTGATTTATTTTAGTGTTGTTATTAAATATTTTTTTAATTGTAATTTTTTAATTATTATTATTTCATTATTATAAATATATTTATATAAATATATATGAATATTATTGTATTTAACATTTATATTTGTGTATCTGATGAATAAATAAAGTAAACTTTGTTCTCAGTACGTCGTTCCTCCGACTCGTCGCTCCACAGCCGAAGCGTTTCAGATCGTCATCTCACATCTACTGGGAGACGCAGGGAGCCCGTACCTGATAGGAGTGGTGTGTACACACACACACACACACATGCACGCACACACACACACACCTACACACCCTCGCACACACACACCTACCTACACTCACACACTCACTCACACACACCTACCTACACTCACACACACCTACACACACACCTACCT